TACCTTTTCTAAAACTAAAAAAAAAATGCAACACATCTGACCGTGAGACATATTTAACAGAAAAAGAATTATGGACCTGCAAAACTGTTGTTTTAGTTTTGAAGATCACTGACAGTGATTACCAATCTAAAACATATAATATTGACTATTATATGTTTATATATATATAACATATATCAATAATATATATTATATATTATATATTATCATTATATACTATTAACATACACAATCAATATCCTTTGTTATTCCCTAGAAACGTGAATAAAAGATACGACATCCATCCCAGTGATCTCAATATTAAAAAGGGTGTTTGAAACAAGCAGGTGGGTCCAACCCTTGCAAGACTAATGGAGCTCAACTTACGGATGTGGTTTCATTTCTATGTAGTTCTTGGGAATGAAGCCGTCTTTTCCATTAAGTTCTGCCTTGTACCAGTTCTGATCACATTCTTCATTCAAAACCTGAAAAGAAATAAGGAAAAAACCCAATCATTTCCTTTTCCCTTTTATTTTATTTATTTTTATTTATTTTTGAGACAGAGTTTCACTCTTGTTGCCCAGGCTGGAGTGCAATGGCGTGATCTCGGCTCACTGCAACCTCTGCCTCCCAGGTTCAAGCGATTCTCCTGCCTCAGCCTCCCGAGTAGCTGGGATTACAGGCATGCTGCCACCATGCCTGGCTAATTTTGTATTTTTAGTAGAGATGGGGGTTTCTCCATGTTGGTCAGCCTGTTCTCAAACTTCTGACCTCAGGTGATCAGCCCACCTCAGCCTCCAAAATTGCTGGATTACAGGCGTGAGCCACTGAGCCTGGCTCCTTTTCCCTTTAAAAAGAGCTACAAGACAATTATGCTGTCTTTTAGGTTTGTTTGTGAAAGGTTTCATTTGAAGTATTATCAGTTACATGGATATGACTTCTTGTAACTTCAAACAACTGGCATTATGTTACACTCTGTTAAATTTTTATTTATTTTTTATTTTTTTGAGATGGAGTTTCGCTCTTGTTACCCAGGCTGGAGTGCAATGGCGTGATCTCGGCTCACCGCAACCTCCGCCTCCTGGGTTCAGGCGATTCTCCTGCCTCAGCCTCCTGAGTAGCTGGGATTACAGGCATGCGCCACCATGCCCAGCTGATTTTTTTGTATTTTTAGTACAGATGGGGTTTCACCATGTTGACCAGGATGGTCTCGATCTTTTGACCTCGTGATCCACCCGCCTCGGCCTCCCAAAGTGCTGGGATTACAGGCTTGAGCCACCACGCCTGGCCTGTTAAAATTTTAAAAAAATTCTCTGAAAATGAAAAATCAGGCTCCCAAACACCTAAACTGAAATCCTCGGTAAGGAAGGAGAAATAAGAATGGCAAGTATTAGGCCGGGCACGGTGGCTCAAGCCTGTAATCCCAGCACTTTGGGAGGCTGAGGCGGGTGGATCACGAGGTCAAGAGATCGAGACCATCCTGGTCAACACGGTGAAACCCCGTCTCTACTAAAAATACAAAAAATTAGCTGGGCATGGTGGCGTGTGCCTGTAATCCCAGCTACTCAGGAGGCTGAGGCAAGAGAATTGCCTGAACCCGGGAGGCGGAGGTTGCGGTGAGCCGAGATCGTGCCATTGCACTCCAGCCTGGGTAACAAGAGCGAAACTCCGTCTCAAAAAAAAAGAATGGCAAATATTAGTTTTTGTTGTTGTTGTTTTTTGACATAGACTCTTGGCTCTGTTGCCCAGGCTGGAGTGCAGCAGCATGATCTCAGCTCACTGCAACCTCTGCCTCATGGGTTCAAGCGATTCTCCCATCTCAGCCTCCTGAGTAGCTGGGATTACAGCTCAAAAAAAAAAAAAAAAAGAAAGAAAAAAAGAAAAGTAGCTGGGATTACTGCTACTTGGGAGGCTGAGGTAGGAGAATCGCTTGAAACTACAAGGCAGAGAATGCATGCCACGTCACCTGGCTAATTTTTGTATTTTTAGTAGAGACAGGGTTTCACCATGTTGGCCAGGCTGGTCTCGAACTCCTGTCTTCAGGGTATCTGCCCATCTTGGCCTCCAAAAGTGCTGGGATTACAGCCATAAGCCTCTGTGCCCAGCCAAGTTTTTTGTTTTGTTTTTCTAAAAAACCTGGAGAGGAGGTTCTGGAAAAATGGCAAACAGGAGAATAAGGGAGCCTGACAAAGACTAAGTCTGCTCTCTGGGAGAGAGAGTTGTCATAGTAGAATTGAGCAGCAACAGAACCTTTTATTGGACTTTTCTAGAGATCTTCCTACCAACCTCCAGAATCTACAGTGATAAAGTCCTGGGATCCCCTCATAGCTTCTCCAGATTATCTCAAGTATGGGTCACCCACCACCAAACAGCTCCAGAACACTGCTGCTTGTGAGGACAACCATACATCCTTGGATGAAAAAACTATTTTCAAGAAAAAGCAAGGCAAATCCTACTCAGTTCAATAACCCAAATTTGAGAGGCTGAGGCAGGTGGATCATCTGAGGTCAGGAGTTCGAGACCAGCCTGGCTAACACGGTGAAACCTTGTTTCTACTAAAAATACAAATAATTGGCTGGGCGTGGTGGTGTGCACCTGCAATCCCAGCTACCTGGGAAGCTGAGGCAGGAGAATCACTTGAACCTGGGAGGTGGAGATTGCAGTGGGCTGAGATCATGCATCGCACTCCAGTTTGGGCAACAAAAGCAAAACTCCATCTCAAAAAACTAGAAAAGAAAAAGAAAAAAAGAAAAGAAAAGTCAGATAGTGCTGGAAGCATCTCGACCAGCAGAATTCAGGCAGAAGCCTTGAAAATCCTATAACTGAACCACTGCATTCTATAGATGTAAAAAATAGACCAATGGCTGCCCCAGGTTACTAGGTAGTGACTCCACAGAGCTAACATCATACCCAGACTTTCATATTCCCAATGACCGTTCTCTCCAATGCTGCCTCTTGAATTACAGAGCCAGGCCAGGCCACGCCATGACACTGTATGTGTAGAGGAACAGAGCAGTCCTCCTTATCATGATGGATACATTTCAAGACCTCCAGTGGGTGCCTGAAACTGTGGACACTACAAGACTCTAGATAGGCTGTGCTTTTTTCTACACTATACATATACCTGTAAGTTTATTATTATTTTTTAGATTTTTATTTATTTATTTTGCCCAGGCTAGTCTTGAACTCCTAAACTCAAGGGATTCTCCTGCTTCAGTCTCCCAAGGTGCTGGGATTATAGGTGTGAGCCACCATGCCAGTCGTACCTATAAGTTTAATTTATAAATTAGGTACAGTAAGAGATTAATGATAAAACAGAAAACTCGTAACAGAGGATGTGTGGTGGCTCAAACCTGCAATCCTGGCAGTTTGGGAGGCTAAGGTGGGAGGATTACTTTAGCTCAGGAGTTTAAGACCAGTCTGGGAAACATTGTGAGACCCTGTCTCTATATGCAAAAAGTGTAAAATAAAAGTTTTAACAATATACTGTAATAAAAAGTTATGTGAATGTGTTCTCTCTCTCTCTCTCTCTCAATATCTTCTTTCTTGAGAAAGGGCCTTGCTCTGCTGCCCAGGCTAGAGTACAGTGGTACCATCATGGTTCATGGCATCTCGACTTCCTGGGCTCAAGTGATCCTTCCATCTCAGCCTCCTGAGTACCGGACTACAGGCATTTGCCATGTTGCCCAGGCTGGTCTTGAACTCCTCAGCTCAAGTATCCTCCTGCCTCAGCTTACCTAAGTGTTGAGATTACAGGTGTGAGCCACTGCACTTGGCCAAAATATATTATACGTCAGACTGCAATTGGCCGCAGGTAAGGGGGAACCAGTGTATACACAGCAGAACAGAATCAGGTACGCTGTGAAAGTCTCCCTATGAATTCTAGACTTACCACAAAATGCAAAGGGCAGAAGGCAGAAAGTTGGTAAAAGATAAAACAGAAATGTGAATACAAACCCAAAATGGTGGGCACAGGAAAATGTTGGCTAGTACAGTGGTAATCTATACTACTTAACAAAGTTCTTAAAGGGAACTGGTAAAATTCTTTACAAAATGATTTATTCAAGATGCTAAACAATGCTGTACTCATAGCCAATTAGAAGCTGGATTGCTCTAAAGTGAGTATTGTCTGTGTACTGCCATTCAAAGTGAGATACAACAGAAAGGGTAGGTATTCATCCTGAAAATGGAAGAAAAAAAAGGGTAGATAAGAATGACAGATAACAACTAGCCAAGCTACATTAATTACCATGCTAGGCTAATTTTTTTCTTCTTCTTTTTTTTTTTTTGAGACGTAGTTTTGCTCTTGTTGCCCAGGCTGGAGTGCAATGGCATGATCTAGGCTGACTGCAACCTCTGCCTCCTGAGTTCAAGTGATTCTCCCACCTTAGCCTCCTGAATAGCTGGATTACAGGCACCAGCCACCACACCTGGTTAATTTTTGTACTTTTAGTGATATGGGGTTTCTCCATGTTTGTCAAGCTGGTCTCCAACTCCTGACCTCAGGTGATCTGCCTGTCTTGGCCTCCCAAAGTGCTGGGATTACAGGTGTAAGCCACCGCATGCGGCCCACGAATAATTGTTAAAGGCCTGGTCAGAATTCTGAGCACGAGCAAGCTGGTCCCATCACTGTATCCTCACTTGCTTATTCACTCCTCTGCACAAACCCACAGGTGAGCTCACAACCAAAGTTCCTTCAGCTTGAAATCTCCAAGGAATGTTAGCTACTACCCTACAGCTGCATTTTCTGTTCCAACCCCCATATTCCCTCGAGTTATGACTTTGTAGCCACACAAGACACACTGGTTTAACGGAAGCAGATTGATCAAGAGATGAGATTATGAAAGGAAGAGACAAGTTTCAGTGTGGTGAGTTCTTTTTGTTTTCTTTGCAAAGAGACTGAAAATAATGTTAAGAGCCCAAATCAGGAAGAAATTTAAGAGATTAGGAATGAAGTGAGCTTTATACAGAGGAATTAAAAATATACAAGCCCTTTTTGTGACGACAGCACTCATGCAAACATGATCAACGTTCCTAAAACGCGCCAGACTTTCTGTAAGAAGTGTGGCAAGCACCAACCCCACAAAGTGAGACAGTACAAGGGCAAGGATTCTCTGTATGCCCGGGGAAAGTGGTGTTATGACAGGAAGCACAGTGGCTACGGTGGGCAGGCTAAGCCGATTTTCCGGAAAAAGGCTAAAACTACAAAGACTGTGCTAAGGCTTGAGTGCCCTGAGCCCAACTGCAGATCTAAGAGAATGCTGGCTATTAAAAGATGCAAACATTCTGAACTGGGAGGAGATCAGAAGAGAAAGGGCCAAGTGATCCAGTTCTACGTGGCATCTTTTGTTTTATTATGAAGACAATAAAATCTTGGACTTTATGTTCATTTCAAAAAATACTTATCTGTACGTCAATGGAAGAGGCCATGAAGGAACTCTGGAGGTACTGTTTATCTTACATTTCCTGACCTGGGTGTGTTCTGTTTGTGAAAATTCACTGAACTATAATGATATATAAATTTTTCTTTTTTTTTGAGACGAGTTTTGCTCGTTACTCAGGCTGGAGTACAATGGCATGACGTCGGCTTACTGCAACCCCCACCTCCCAGGTTCAAGCGATTCTCCTGCCTCAGCCTCCCAAGTAGCTGGGATTACAGATGGCTGTCATCGGGCACAGTAATTTTTTTTTTGTATTTTTAGTAGAGATGAGGTTTTGCCATGTTGGCCAGGCTGGTCTCAAACTCCTGACCTCAAGTGATCCACCTCCCTCGGCCTCCCAAAGTGCTGGGATAACAGGCATGAGCCACCACACCTGGTCCTTGCCCTTAATTTTCTATACAAATTATAGAAAAAGGTGTCATTTAGCAAAATGGGAAGTATTTTGTTTATAGATTGCTGCATTTTGAAATAAGGGGATATTTTCTGGCTTGAACATATTCAGTCATCTGCAAATGAATAAAAAATAGAAATCATAACTTTAAAAGAAATATGCTGTACAGTTATGGTTCCATCAAGCCTTTCATCATGCGCTCCAATTCCAACAGCTTGCAGAAAGTTCAAGATTTCTTCAGGGAAAAATTATTCAAAGTTTTATCAATCTGTGAAGCAATTTGTGAGAGCATTTGTGCATGAATGATAGGAAGAATTACATTTTAAAGCTCTTAACACGTAAAAAACCAAAAACACCAGTTACAGCTGGTCCCTGCAGTGCAGAAATTCAACATAAGCCAGTGAAGCTTCCCCAGTTCTTCAAAGAACCCAGGTAAAACTAGTCTAACTCCTGAGTATCAATCACTCAATCCAAAAGGAGCAATACTGAAATACTGCCAGGACTTCAAGACAAATTTCAAGAATTCTAGTGACACCTACTATATAATTTCAAGTTCCTAGAAGAGAAAACACATATGCATGCGTGCTTTTAAAAGACTTTAACCCCTAAGAACAAATTCTAAGGGCCCTAGCTAGGGTAACAGTATTGGGAGAGCCAAAGTCAGTTCTCTTCAGGTACCCATTATGTATTTTATTAGGAACTATTAGAATGCTCTTCAACTTTCCTTAGTATGGATAACTGACTCAGTTTCAAGCTATAGTGATTCATTACTAACACTTTAAATAAGTGCTTTACAATCACCACCTCCATCTGTTACAGTTTTTTGCAACATGAAAAACATCTTGGCAATACTGCCTGCTATACTATGGGCCAAACCATAAAAAACACCCACAGTGTATTTAAACTATTAAGAACTTTAGTGATGAGATAACCAGCAAAGGTAGTTCAATAATTAAGGTTCCTGGTCCCACAGAAACCTTGAATTACTCACCCAAGAACACAAAGAGGAAAGTTCTTACATTTGCTGAGCAGACCAGTCTCCATCTGGAATGACTGCTACTACAGCAAGGCCACAGCTCAAGAAAAATCTGAAAAGCATCTTTGCCAACCAGGCCAGGTGATACATACTTGACTTTTAACAATCAAAGTTGAGAAGAAATGAAATGCATTTATTTAGTTTTAAAACTCTCCTTGCAGCTGGGTGCAGTGGCTCACACCTGTAATCCCAGCACTTCAGGGGGCTGAGGCGGGTTGATCATGAGGTCAGAAGTTCAAGACCAGACTGGCCAACATGGTAAAACCCCGTCTCTACTAAAAAACACAAACATCAGCTGGGCATGGTGGCTTGTGCCTGTAATCCCAGCTACTTGGGAAGCTGAGGTAGGAGAATTGCTTGAACAGGGACCCAGGAGGCAGGGGCTGCAGTGAGCTGAGATCGTGCCACTGCACAGATCGAGACTCCATCTCAAACAAAACAAAACAAAACAAAAAAACAAAACAGAACAAAAAAACCTCTCCTGGCTGGATGCGTTGCCTCATGCCTATAATCCCAGCATTTTGGGAGGCCAAGCAGGTGGATCAACTGAGGTCAGGAGTTTGAGACCAGCCTGGCCAACATGGTGAAGCCCCGCCTCTACTGAAAATATAAAAAATTAGTTGGGCTTGGTGGCATGTGCCTGTAATCCCAGCTACTTGAGAGGCCGAGGCAGGAGAATCGCTTGAACCCAGGAGATGCAGTGAACTGAGATGGCGTCACTGCACTCCAGCCTGGGCAAAAAGAGAGAAACTCCATCTCAGAAAAACAAAACAAAACAAAAAAAACCAAACCTCCTAATTTTGACAGACTTATAAAATCATGTTTAAACAGTACTGTTTTATTAAATAATTAAACATAATTAATTAATTAATTTTTTTGAGACAGAGTCTGGCTCTGTTACCCAGGTTGGAGTGCAGTGGCGGGATCTCAGCTCACTTCAACCTACTCCTCCCCAGTTCAAGCAGTTTTCATGCTTAAGCCTCCTGAGTGGCTGGGATTACAGACGTGCACCACCACGCCTGGCTAATTTTTGTATTTTTAGTAGAGACGGGGTTTTGCCATGTTGTTCAGGCTGGTCTCAAACTCCTGGGCTCAAGTGAACCTCCCACCTCGGCTTTCCAAAGTGTTGGGATTACAGGAATGAGACATTGCAACCAGCCTAAAAACCTATTTATTTAAAAAAGTGTTTATGTAATGGTGTCAAATCAAGAGGGTATTTTGCCTCATGTCATCACCCTTTTCAGCAAAAGCGTATCTGTGCCATGAAATGCTACTTTAAGTTATCTGAAATGAACATTTCCAGAAGCCTCCTTTCTCCCCCCACCTCTTTATTTATTTATTTTTTTTTTTTTGAGACGGAGTTTCGCTCTTGTTACACAGGCTGGAGTGCAATGGCACGATCTCGGCTCACCGCAACCTCCGCCTCCTGGGTTCAGGCAATTCTCCTGCCCCAGCCTCCTGAGTAGCTGGGATTACAGGCACGCGCCACCATGCCCAGCCAATTTTTTGTATTTTTTAGTAGAGACGGGGTTTCACCATGTTGACCAGGATGGTCTCGATCTCTCGACCTCGTGATCCACCCGCCTCAGCCTCCCAAAGTGCTGGGATTACAGGCTTGAGCCACCGCGCCCGGCTTCTTCCCCCTTTTTAAGACAGAGTCTCATTCCTGTTGCCCAGGCTGGAGTGCAATGACGCGATCTCAGTTCACTGCAACTTCCGCCTCCTGGGTTCAAGTGATTCTCCTGCCTCAGCCTCCTGAGTAGCTGGAATTACAGGCATGTGCCGCCCAATTTTGTATTTTTAGTAGAGACGAGGTTTCTCTAAGTTGTTCAGGCTGGCCTCGAACTCCTGACCTCAGGTGGTCCGCCCACCTTGGCCTCCCTAAGTGCTGGGATTACAGGTGTGAGCCACCGCACCCAGCCCAGAAGCCTCATTTCTTTGGGGGAACCGGGGTCCTAAATCCTTAATTTCTTATGTCATTTTCTTTTAAGAAAGGAGTTTATTTACCAAACTCTAGGAATCCAAACAGTATTTGTGGCCGGGCACAGTGGCTTACGCCTATAATCCTAACACTTTGGGAGGCCGAGGCAGGCCGATCACCTGGCCAACATGGTGAAACCCCATCTCTACTAAAAATACAAAAACTAGCTTGGTGTGGTGGCCCGTGCCAGTAATCCCAGCTACTCGGGAGGCTGAGGCAGGAGAATCGCTGGAACCCAGGAGGTGGAAGTTGTAGTGAGACAAGATAGTGCCACTATACTCCAGCCTGGGCGACAGAATGAGACTCTATCTCAAAAAACAAAACCAAACAACCCAAAAAAGAAAAAATAAAGAGTGTTTGTTAGTTAAGTCTATCTCCTGACCCTTAGTGACGGAATGGTGAGAGGTTTTGACTTAGCATCTTTCAAATATTTTTAAAGGAAAGGAAGAAAAAAGAGAGAAGGAGAGAAGACAAGGAGGAGGACAGAGTCCCCAAACTCCAACTTTCCATGGTAAAAATCATTCATTACCTTTTTTTTTTTTTTTGAGACGGAGTTTCGCCCGTTACCCAGACTGGAGTGCAATGGTGCGATCTCGGCTCACCGCAACCTCTGCCTCCTGGGTTCAAACAATTCTCCTGCCTCAGCCTCCTGAGTAGCTGGGATTACAGACACGCGTCACCACGCCCAGCTAATTTTTTGTATTTTTAGTAGAGACGGGGTTTCACCATGTTGACCAGGATGGTCTCGATCTCTCGACCTTGTGATCCACCCACCTTGGCCTCCTAAAGTGCTGGGATTACAGGCTTCAGCCACTGCGCCCGGCCAATCATTCATTACTTTATACTTCCCTCTGCCTGTGAAGGAAGGAGTGGTGTCCCAAGAATACTGCTTTCTTTCCAACTGCTGCCTTTCTGAAAAGTAGCTGCTCAAAGTGAGGATCAGTGTGAAAGGGGAACACTGGCGAGTCAGGAGATGGGGGCCAACCAAATGTCCAGGCAACATGGCTCAAGAGCCCCAAAGTTAGTCACCACTATTTTTTCTGTTAAAAAGCCTTAAGTATCCTTCTGTAAGTGCAAATGCAGTCTGGCATTCCAGTTTTCATAATTTGGCCATCACTGACTATCTGCCCTGATCACCTACTGCTTCTCCAAATGAACCCGGCAGTGCAGTCAGCTGGTCAAGTTGCTGACCTCTAAACACACTGTTCTCCTCCCCACCGCTTGACTGTGCCTTCCCTTGTCTATTGAGATCTTTCAAGATTCAGTTCAGAGCTCACAACCACTTTGGTCACCTTTCCCTCTGCTTCAATCTTACAGTATTTAATGGAGGATTACTGTCAATAATATAATCCCTTATGATTATCTCGTCTATCACTTCTTTGTACCATGTGCTGCTATGACTTGGCCCCCGCTCAAAATAACCCACAAGCACTGAAGCTGGCTCCACACACAGTTCTCACTTGTATTCCTCATAGCTCTTAGTATGGAATCTAGCATGTGTTGGGGAACTG